TCGATTGGCCCACCTAATCCCACCTATGTTCCCAACTGGTTAAATGCTTAATTTGACTCTTTCATAGTACTATGCATATTTAGCATACAGTAAGTGCCTAGAAGGGCTTCATTGTGCTAAGCAGTGCACACATATACCCAGAAAAAAAACTATTCACAATCTAAATAGATGGGGTGAAGTGATGTGCCCAAGGTCACAATGTAAACCAGTGGCAGAGCTGGCAACTAGTCCAGGACCCATCCACTTTGCCTTATCTTCAATGCTATTTCTGATTTGAACTGTAACTCACATGGAGCAGCTGACTCGAAGATACGTAAGTAAAAAGGGGACACCAGAATATTCAGTGTAGGAAAAAAGCTTACTCCCTTGTCTTACTCTTTTTTCAAAATTGGCCGATGCAGACCCAGTTTAGAAGACTGGAAAGTTCTGTCTAGTCTGCCAGTGATCTCTCTGAGGCTGGAGCAGGACTTAGGGCTGACTCAAATTGAGAGCTTATTCTGCTTCATTAGATGTCTGAGATAAACTGAGCAGCTGCAGCCTTCCTGACCATCCTCTCACCAAGGACCCCTTTGCCCCATGGCTAAATGATATATGTTCCTGTGAAATAGGATCACCCATAAAGTTTCCTGTTGCCATGCTTGGAATAAAGAAGTATACTAGAAGTAGTGGGAAAGAAGCAATCCAGGGAGGCTCCTCCATGCCTACACAGTAAGTGCTGACAACATTTGTTTTAACGCTTAGTTGATAATTAGGGGAACACAGTGTTAGTTTCCCCTCAAGGTGTCATAACACTCTGAAAAAAGGGGACTGCCAATACCATGGACTCTCCCTGGAGCCTGAAACTCAAGCTGGGTCTTTTCCAGTGCTTGTATCTTTGTCTCCATAAGGGTCTGAGCTAAGACTTTCACAAGTGACTTATGATTTTGATTGCCCAAACTTAGCTGCCTTTACAAAATGGCAGGTGGTCCATGTTGTCTAAGAACAGACCCCTTTCAGCTGTTTCAGGTTGGGCTTTGTCAACTAGGGATATCCATTATCACAAATCCCCTAAGTGAAAGTTTTGTCCCTTGTCTATTTAGGACTTGCCTAGGGTCAGCTAGCAGGACACGTTAACTGATTTAGCAGCACCTACAGCAGTACCTCCGCTTGGACAAACGAGGTTAGGACTTGCCCTAACTGAGTCTACCCTTGCAAGGGGCTGACTTACGCTCAGCTGGCTCTAATCACAGTTTGTCTAGTCTACATTAGGGGATTGTAGTGGTGCAGTGACCCTGCTCACTGGTCACCAATGGTTGCAGCCCCAATATAGAGAAGCCCCAAGGGTCTACAAATGCAACTGAGTTAAGAATCCTCTTGTTAGAATAAGAATCTGGCTCACTCGACCATTGCACTGCAATATGACGTGGAATAATGACTGATTCTGTCACTGTAATAAAAATGTACAGATATGTGCAAGCAGATGTATCTCTCTTTTTTTTTTTTTTAATACAACAGTCATACTTCAGTGACTGGTGTTTGCTTTGCCTAAGTATATTAAGAAACCTGGTAGCTAAAATACCCTGTTGTCTGACCTTTTTTCCACATCTCTTTAGCTAACAGGTTTAGGTCTGGGCCAGGGAGAAAACTCAAAACAAAAGCAAGAATTGTCGTTTCAGTAAATGCCACTCCTCTTTCAGTCACTTTTGAACACGGTATGGACACAGGAGGCCCCTAAACAAGTGGAAATGCTGTCTTTTAAACGAGTCCCACGTACACCTGGTAATTAAACATCCTATTTACTCCCAATCTGCCATGCTAGTGTTAAAGTGGAAATCACCTTTCCTCCTCTTTGGTGCAACAAAAATTTTATGCCAAAAATCCTGACCTCGTTGCTTATTTTAAACACATTTGTATGACTTCAGATACCTTACAAATCTTTTGAAACACAGAAAGACCATTTGTTTAAGCTTGCCCATAAATTGCTAACGTCTTCTAGAGCAGACCATCTGGAATATGGCTATGAGGAGTTCTCTTTTTCTGGTAGTGTAATGGCAGATAGACCACAGGAAGAGCATTCAAATGAATGATCTAATTTATCTAAAGATTGTTCGTGCCTCTGGATAAAGCAAGCATCTCTATCAACCCTTTAAGAACAGTTGTGTATTGACTTTGTTGGCTTGGCTTATTCTCAGTTCAGTGCTGGTCCATTCTACCTACCCAAATATTCCTCTTTTAATGTGAATTGGAGAAAACATTCTTCAACTCTAATTTTTTTCCAAATGTGGTTGGCTGTTATAGGAACAAAGTGATTGCTATGTACGTCCATCAGACAAATTGCTATCTCAGTGCTATGGGAAAGGATCTATTTGATCCATGGTGGGATTTTCAAAATGCTTTACACTCGCACAAATGTTTCCCTTGGAGGAAATGGGGAATTTCTATTGATTCAGTAGGTAGAGAATAAGTCAACACTGGTACCTTGGAAGAAAAATCTCACTTGCACTGTCTAACATAGGGATAAGATGATACATAAAGATCCCTTTCATTATTATGTGGCTGAGAAGAAATAAACAACGGGCTAAAATGAAATTATGATGGAACCTTAAAGACCATTATTAAATGTTAATTACCAAAACCTGTCACATGGAGGATTTCATTCTCACAATGTAGGACTCTGCTTGCCTTTCACACGAGGAACAGCATATCTTGTTTAATGTTTTTTGCAATAGAAATTGGCTGAAATCTCATGTGGAACTAGAAGAGCAGAGAGATGGAGATGAAGCACTGCTTGCTTGGGTACAGCTGCCTGACAAGTAGTGTGGAAGCTACTGCATTTTGGTATTCTTTTGCGAGCTAGGTTTCCATTATTCTGTTCAACCATCAGCAAACCCAATGCTTTGCTATCCTTATATGGGGCAGCACTAATTGAATCCATCCCAGAATGTCCTTTGAAACACTCCTTATTCCCAAATTGCCACATATAAAAGTAGAAATTACCTTCCCTCCTCTTTGCTTCAACAACAATTTAAGATAAACAGAGAATTTTTTCCCTAACCTTAGGTGCTATTTTAATACACCTTTTCCAAAGACATCTATACACCTTGCAGTTCATTTAAAACAATGTTGTCTTATATTTCAGCATGTCCATAAATTACTAATCCATCCTAGTGTCGTATGCTTGTATTACCAGCACAATTATTTCTACCCTTCTGGTTAATATGTTGGCAAATGGCAATATGAATGATCAAAATTCATATAAAACTGGGGAGGTTAGTTTCTGTAAATAAAAGCAAGGGACTTAACTTTCTCTTATATTTGCTACAATTTTAGAGAGGTTAGATATAAGAATTGCTATGCCAGTCACTATGGCCCACTCTTTAAACAGGAACAAAGAGAAAGGGATGAAATGTTTTTAATATGCACATCTTAGACCCCAAACCAAATCCTGTAAGATTCATTTATGTGGGGGAGGACATGTACTTTACCCATGTATTTCAGTTAATGCATCTATGAAAGGGGTTGTTTAAAACAGTTTGAAATTCTCAGATAACAGATCCTTTCAAGTGTAAATAATTACTAGACTTCAATTATAATGTAAACCAGAAAGGGAGAAAACAATTATTAAATGTTTTCTTTTTAAATAATAAAAGTTAGCTCACCTTCTTTGATGAAGGCTCTTTAAAATACAGAAATTATGTGGGTCATAAGTGGGAAGTGCCGTACTTAGATTCAGACACAATGGGACTACTGATATTCTGTTAGCCAGTATCTAAACCCTCTCATCCTCAGGAAAGCAATTGTAGATCAGTTTATAAGCTTACACACACACGATCCAAAAAGAATTGATATCATGGGATACCATTTTCCTTGGGTTCCTATTTATATTTTCAGAAGGAAGGATACCCTTTGAAAAAAGACCAGAGCTAACACTCCTAAACAGGCAACAATATTTGGACAACTAATTCCTTTAAACTTCCTTGGAAGTTATGTTGATATAAATAGTGTGGTGTTAAGGAAAATGTCATTGTAAGATCTTCAAGGAATTTCCCATTTTTTTGTGTTTGGCTGCAAAGCACTATTAATATATATTGCAGAATAGCATGAAAAGGACAGCCACAATCAGGAACGCGTGAAACAGCCTTTTTCACAACTTCAGTAGGAATGGGAAATGAAAGATTTGTATCAGCAATCTGTAGAAAGATCATATCATTCAGTCTCACTGAAGTTATTTGCACTACTGCTCATTATTATGAACAGCTTTGTCATAGACCTGGTTTTAATCTGCCCCCAAATGTTACCACTGCCTCATTTAAACTAGCATTTTTAAATGTGATTCTCATGCAGCATTAAAAAGCTTTCATTCCAAAAATAAAAACATAAAACCACTTCCCCCTCTGGATCAAAAGTTTTATCTGTTTCTTGGATTGACTCTGGCTGCTGAAGCAGGTGAGTGGAAGAAGAAAATGTCAGGTATCACTTTTACATGCTTATTCTTGGAGGATGGGTCAGAATGTACCTTGTAGATCACAGAGGGATGTTTCTCCAAGGCTCATGCTAAACTGACAGTTTGGGGCAACTCCTGATTTTAGATGTCATTTACAAGCAAATTCTAGGTCAGATTCAATCAGAGATGTAATCTGCACTTAAGAAATTAGTGTTCTTTGCTGTACTTTTCAATACTATATGTGCAAGAACATCACTGTTGCTTTTTTCTATGAAGTTTCAAACTCTTCCAGGAAATCTTCACTTGTACCAGGTGAAAACACTGAGCCATTTGTAATAGCAGGCTCAGAACTAAATTGTTTTTTGTCACATTGGGATAGCACGCTTATATGCTTAATCTCTTATTTTGATTTATTTGTAATGAAAAAAAAAATCAGAAGACAATGAGCATCTGGTAGTAAACTATGCATGAAGAGGATTGCATTGCAAAATATTCATATGCAGTACATTGTTCCTGCCATTTAATGAAGATTCCCCAATGCTTGCTAGGAACAGAAGATGCTGTAGTGTGAAGAGTCAGTTTAATAGCCCCAGGGGATAGCTAACCACAGTCCAGTCCACCATCTATTTTAACTGGTATCTTTGTCAAGATGCTCAAGGGGTGATACCTAGAATGGCAGATTAAATTCCCTTTGAAACAATGAGAGATCTTGCTCTTTCCTTTGTGTGTGTGGGCAGGTGTGTACTTCTATATAAATAAGGGCCAAATTCCCACGCATGTTCTGAAACTGGGTTTTTTTCCCCTAATCTACTATACTTTTTTGTACAATTATGACAGACAGTTTGGGGACACTGTAGAAGTGACAATATGTGAGATAAAGCAAAGTCTTTACACATAGATTAGCTAATTATATTTTGGGCAAATATTTATTTATTTTTTTAATCTAAAAACGAAATAAAAATCATTTTTTAAAAGAAAAAAAGTATTTAAATTAAAAAAACCCCACAAGATTGTGAAATGTTATGGCACAGAAGATCAAAACAAGTATAAATCCAGTTGCCACAACTGCTGAGTATTAAATGTCGCACTTTTCTATAAAGATTTTTATTACAAGTATTTACATGTTAATAAGTGTAAATATATACAGCAAGTTGAGGGACAACGTTTTGGAATTCTCTCAAGAAGAAAAATGTCTTAAATACAAAAATTTTAAAAAGAAAAAGTTGATAAGTTTCTCCCCCATCATGAAGAATGTATAGTTTGTCTGACGCCCAAAGTATTGGTTATGAGGCAGTTGAGGTTATGGCTCAGCTCACGAGAGATGAAGCCAAGGTTGTGTAGTTGCAAGTCATTTTGCACAGCATGCAATTGCAAGAGCTCCTTTCAGAACTGGTATAGTTCACGAGTAAGATTAGAAACATTAATATTTTATCATATTTCAGTCTGGTTTGGGTTACTCAAGTCTATACCCAAGAGTTTCTACGCACAAGAGTTCCTTAGCTGCTCAAGTTTATGTTTCAATTGATCTCGCCGCCTCCTCAACTGCTCTTTCTCTGCAATCAGTCTGTGTTCATCTGTTTGAATAGAAATAACATATTCCGTTGCCTTTTTAAGGATGACGACTTTGGGTGCCTTTTCATTGTTGGCTACCTCAGGTATCTCGTCACGCAAAGCAAAGAAGCTCAACTTCAGCTCGTTTCTCCTTTGGCGCTCCAGGACGTTGTGCGTTCGCCTCTTGTCGTTCTCTTCCGAGTCTGATGTGCGGGGACTTGAGCACTTTCTGTTGTTACTGATCTGTTTGAGAATTCTGCCATTGTCCAATTTTAACCTCTTTGCTGACGGATATTCAACCTTGGTGGAAGGAGGAGCAGCGTAATTGTGCTGATGGATGGGGACATGACACCGCTTGAGAACTAGCGGGCTGTGGTGTGGCTTGCTGTGTCCGTCTACGGAATCTGTGCTGGACTCTCCGCTAGAGTCTGTACTAGACTCTGTGCCGGATTCAACTCCATTCACCTCTACTAGCGTGACCACATCAATTTCCTCCTCATCTTCCTCTTGTTCTTCTTCTGCAAGGAAAATAAAACAGTTAACTTGTAGATTTAAAAAAGCACCGGGTTTCAAAACAGGACCTCATTCTGGGCTTGGAAGAACAGCGGCAAACTGAATTTTAAACATGTTGTAATCGGCTTCTAAAACCTGCACTTCCCCAAAAACTATTTCCTCCCAGAAATCCAGCATCCAATGTGCAACAGGATGCTCCTGCCCACGGCTTGAACATCCGCCTCCTTTCAGGGCTAAACCCTGCACCCCAGATCAAGAGTTAGAGATCTTGCCTAACTGCCGAGAGCAGGGAAGTTGACTGCTGACAGCAGATGTGATAGCACTCTCCTGTCCTCCCCCATGCTGCCACTCATCCAGCTGTCCCGAATGAATGAATGATTCGGTGAGACTCCAGCCTCAAAAACTTGCTTATGGCTGGAAATTTTTTTAAGAGGCACCTTAATAAGTTCCTTTATTGCCTTTCAGTGTCACCTATTTCATGCAAAAATTATGACCTCTTCTTAGGCAGGAGGAGATGCTCAGGCACCTTCCCAGACAGGGTGTGTTGGAGGCAGGGGAGGGGGCAGGGTGGGAAACCTATCAGCTTGGAGAGAGAAAGTGCCTTGCAAAAAGGAAACCTTTCCCACTTCTCCTCATTCACTTTCACAGGCACCTCCCCGATGACACCCTGCGGTGCAGTTAACTCCTGCTTAAAAAGAGGTCATAATTTTTGCATGAACTAGGTGACACTGAAAAACAAAAGAGGAGCTTATTAAGGTGCCTCTAAAAAACAAAAAAAAAAAAAAAAAAAAAAAAAAAAAATTGTGGAGGGGGATAGCAGCCTGGAGGGGGGGAAGCCTCTACCCCTCCCGCCTGGTTTTCCAAGAACTGGGATCTCTGCTGTGCCTCAACGTGGCATTTACATTTAAAGAGGCACATGCAAGGACACTCTCTCCGCTACACACAGCTGCAGCAATAAGCCCTGCCCTCCCTGCTGCGGGGGAAGCACTTTAACTTTTAAAGCGCCGTGCAGGAGCAGGAGCCGGAGCAGGAGCG